AAAAAAAAAAAAAAAAAAAGCAAATGACGGAAGAGGATTAGCGTTCATTATTTTTAATACTCTTGATACAAAAGTAATTCATTTCTTTACTGAAACTTAGGAAAAATGTGGAGGTATCTCGTGAACATAGGAGAGCCCTCTACGAGTTCTTCTTTGTGTATGTCAGAGGGGATACGGTAACGTCTCTTCGTGGCTGCTGAGAAAAACACTGGCTTAAGTCTAAACTAGGGCGTTTTTAACTGAATTATTCTAAGAGTTCTGGGACGCTTTTGGCGTAATTTTGCTCTTCATATTTGTAACCACATAACAATTGTCAATTTTGCTGGAATCTAGTGATCTTGCCTAGTCACTTGTTTGAGTACAAATCAGAGGTTAATAGTTCTTTCCCTAATTGTAATTCTTTTTCTACAGCAAAAAAAAAACGCGAAAAATTTAGCAAGCAGCACGTGGCCACAAATGCTGCAGGCGCAATGATAGCAAACTTTTCACAAATATTTGATCTATCTCAAATATTAAGCGAAGAAAATCAGTTAATCATTCGAAGAAGCAACCTGTCTGCATTTACAAATAGTAAATTTTCAAAAAACTGGTTCATTTACCAAACTGAAATATTTTATTTATGTCAAGAACACATTTGGTGGGATCTTTATACAGAAAAAAAAGCTTCCGTCGTCAACAAACCGTATACTTAAATACAATAAATACAAGTAACAAAACAAATATAATGGAAATTAGCTCTAATGTCACATTTCAGCGAATTTCTCGACGACGGCTGCAAAGATCGACATAGGACAAAGGGGAAAAATTGAGAAAAATCTGAGAAAAAATTCCTCTGGGAATAGGCTAGGAAACACCGCTGAATTCGGACTGAAGTCAGCATTTTTATAAGTTGCTGGCTAATCCCATAAGTGTGACTTTTGTTCCGCCGCGAAAGAATTTCCACACCGAATTAGAACTGACGCTGCCTATAGTTATATGAAAGATTATTGACGCAGATGTACTAAACCAATTAATATATTTTTATCAGAGAGACTTGGTTTATTATAAAGAAGAATTCTGGTTACAAAACCTTTATTCCTCTCAATACTGTATTTAGGAAGAGTTATTTAAAAACTGAACAGAAGTAAAATTCAAAAGAAATTAACAAAAAAGAAATCAAAATACAGCAGAAGTTGGAAAAACGTACACTAAATGTTTGAAAGAAAACATTACACAGAACTATAAGTAACTTGGACGTATCATCTCTTTTGTCTTATCATCCATTTCGTTGGCAGCGACCACGTAAAATGCCCTCCAAGAGCTCCGCTATGGGTCTAGGTCAGTGACCAACTATTTTTCTGTTGGGGTCACTTTGCGTGCTGTCGCGACACTTCTCTGGCGAGTGGAATTCATTTTTCTTCTCTTATAAGGATTTAAGGTAGCCTATCCCGCTTCAGATCGCACGTACTTCAGTTGCTAAGTTAGCATTCCTTAGAACTTTAAAAAATTATGCTCATCAACTACTAATTTATAAGACCTTAAGTTTATCACCTTACCTCATCTGGAAAAAACTGGCATCTTTCGAAAAAGATAACCATTTTGTTATGATTACAGAAAAAGAGGGCTATGCAGAGTGCGGAGCCATTTATGTCTGGTCTGTTTGGGCATCATTATTAGGTTTAGTAGGTTGAACAACCAACTTCTTTCCTTCTGCTAGTCGTTCCATTGCTGCTGTACAGGAATTGTACACAATTATGAGAGAAACTACTATGTTTAGCATAATAATCATTTAAAACCCATAAGACAGTTCCAATTGTTCCGACTTGAAGCTTTTTAGGGACATGACTTTAGAACGGTTTTTAGTCATTCAGGCCGTATATTCTAGAAGTCCTATAGTCGTTAGACAGCTCTAATAAAGAGCAGCTGAATTATACAATTCTGACTAAATGTAACCTGTCATTTTTCTTTGGCTTACATGCTACTTCCCCCACCGATTTTCTCCTTTCCTTTAAAATCCTGCAGCAGTTCAAGAAGGTTTTCTGTCTATTAGGACATTCATTTCTGAACAGCCTACACTTGTTGGAAAATTCTAAGGACGAGTTACTAGTCTGCAAATGAGTTGATTTGATTAGAGATCATTGGTCGGTTTTTTGAATGTTTTCTTAATCTTTTTGTATTTCCAGAAAGTTTTTTATTCGTCCAGGACATTTATTCGGAGCCAATTTATGTCTGTTAGAAAACTCTAAGAACAAACTACCAATCTATGCTGGCTCGATTAGGGAGTCTGGGTCGATACCTTAAGTGTATTTTTTGCGCTGATTTCTATTTTTGCAGAGACGTTTAAAAATAATTTGCAAAAAAGAAAAAACGATATTGCAGCACGTAATGTGAATATTATGGAAAACTTTTGCACTTTCTTGCAGAAGAAGAAACCAGCGGGTGCGCGCAGGCCAGTGTTGGAATGGATGTCTTAAATGAATAAAAAGCTTTTTGGAAACACAAAAAACATGTAGGAAGGAAAGAATAAGACGCGTATCTTGGGAAATCGACCTAAGACCTTCAATTTAAATAACAAAGTCAAATAGCTCGTTTTTAGTGCTTGCTAATGAGTATAGGCTGGCTCCGAAACTCTCCTAACGCATGAAAAGTTTGGAACCGGGGCAGGTTTGTATAGGAAACAAGGACTGTTTTAAAAGAACAGCGCATAACTCTAAAACCGACCGGTCAGTTTTGGTCGGACTAGCTTAGCTTAATTTAACTGTCTGCTCTCAGAAGCGACTCCACAGTCCTTTCATAATGGGCATTGTAAATGAAGGTAGACGAATCTGGAATCAAATCTGTGTGAAGATTTGCTTTCGGAAAATTGGAATTTTCCAACAGACAGCCATTTCATTTTGACAGAGTCTTCAGCGGTAGATTGGAGATGGGGAGGTTTATATTATCGGAGCTTTGCAGTCATTTTGGCATCATTCTATTCGCCAGACTGCTCGCTAAACGTCATTTACTAAAGTCTGATTCGAGTGTTGAGTTATTCACCGAAGTGTTATTTGGTAATAAATTATTTTTACTGTTTTTGTCACCTTTTTCTTGGTTGTTTTGCTCATTCTTCTGCTACTTTCTTTCAGTTTTCGATTTAGTGGAGTATGTATTTTTATTTTTCATGTTGAACGAGTATATTTTCATAAGAATTGACCATTTATACTCGTTTTCATTTTAGAATTAGTTCTGCAATTCGTGATGGCGAAAAGCGCCTGGGATGGGTGAATTCCAACACCGCTAATGTGCACATCACTTTAAGTAGAGATGACTGTGAAGAAGCTAAACTTCTCCAAAGTTATTTTTTAAGTATTTCTTCACAGGAAATGCGCTATCTTGTAATTCCAGTGTGATACAGAAGAAAAATGAACTTTTTGGGTGGAACCACAGGTTGAAAGATACGTGCTTGCAACATTTCAAAAGAATGTGCATGACTTGTGGTTGTTTCTTGTTTCCCACTTGCTGATTCTTCAGTCCTGTGAGTTCCTTCAGGTAAATTCATGGAAAATTTCATCCATCACTATCAATATAGTCCGAGTTTGACGTTAGTTTTATGTAAAAATGTTAAATTTTTCGTCAGTAGTCGTTTTAAGCCGTATTTTCAGCACCAGCTTGGTGATACTTACTGTAATTCGTTGGATTCAACTGTTGGAGCTAGGTGAACGTAATAATAATAAAGATTACCTGGCTAATTTTCAATTGATGGTTTCACACAGAAGAAAAGTCACGTTCTGAACGTGATAGTAAAATTGCGCAGCACATTATTCATACTACCGAAACAAATAATACTGGAAAATGAATGACTGGAGAACAAAAACCAACCACAGATCATGTTCATTTTTTAAAAAAGCTACATGAAATGAACGCCAATTTGTAGTTTTACCCAAGAAATGTACATCACCTTCGTATGGGACTGAGGCATTTTCTGGGCTTTCTGAGCTGTTCGCAGCTGCGGTTGAGTGTACCAGTAAGCTCCAAAAACTGGTCTAAATATCGTGCAAAAAACCTAGATGTCGTGCAGATTGCCTCTTAATTTTGCAGCTAGGCGTTTTGCTTGCATTTGAAAACATAAAATACCGAAAGAAAATGAATGTGTGGCAGGAAGTGCGAAAAAATACGCGTAAAAGTGCGAAAATTTTAGCATTCCCAAAATTAATTTTATATACAGAAGTTATACGCGTGCTAGCAAAGTTTTGAAGTTTGCCCAACTTGGACATTTTCCGCTTTAGTAAATTGTTGAACTGATTTGGAATTGAAAGCTGGGAAAGGTAATCACTACTTTTTTTAATAATATTGATTTAAATCTTTTTGTCTAGTAAAGAAATTGCATTTTTTTTTCTGTCATTTTATTAACGTTTCCCTCGACTGTAAGTTCATCCCTAGTTTTTTTATCTTTGTTCTTTTGTATCTCAGACTGCACAGACGTAATTTGCAGCTTTTTTAACAGGGCTCCTACAGAAGTATGGTTAAAGGACATGTATTTAACTTGGAATTACTCTTAAATTTCGGCAAAAATCTTGAAAAACGGTTTAAAAGTGAGAAATTGTAAACTAAAATATGTAAAACATTGATAGACAGTATAAAGAGTAGGTGGTATATCTTTTACATATGTAACACAGAAGTTTAGCAAACCTTAACAGAAGTTGCTCGAGTAACTTTCAGGTACTTCTGTACAACTCAGTGACATTGTGTCGAAGTCGCTAAAATTTCTCCTTAACAAAGGATACTTGGCTCCCAAAGATTTCACACCAAATTAGGAATGAATCTGCTGTAGCTCTTTGTGCACATGTCACAACGAACGTGCCACTGTGCTGTAACAAGCCGATGGTATCATGATGTCTAACGCCAAGCTCAACAAGCTCCTATGCTGACTATCACTTTCCAGTAAATCTCCTGGCAGTCACACAAACATATCTCTGATCAAATTTCTAATTAAAAATCTTCAAAGTATTTTGAGAAATAACGTGAGATTATCTAGGCATTGTGGCAAAAAGTATGCTTTGTTCAACAAAGCATTTCTGATATTTTCTTATTTTGCTTGTTTATACAGTACTTTTATCGATGACTCTTTGTATTCTTGATTTTCTCTTATGAAATTTTTAAAAACTTTACAAAACTTCAGATGGTTGGATAAGTATTTCAAAAAAACTGTTTTTTGGAAATTTATTTGGAGTACATTATGTGTACACTCACCAGTTCTAAAAGTTTTGTTCGCTTCATTTGCAGAGCACGGCAGCTGTTAATTTTAGTTAAGAACTTGAAAGCCAAACTATTATTTAGTTTTGTTAAGGCTTGACTGACACTATATTTTTCAGTTACGCGGCTCAATTTAAAAGTTACAAAAGTGGTCATTTCTGGGGTTCTATTGTACTTTTTTCTCTAATGTGTCTTCCTCTCTAATGAAGTGAATCTTTTTAGGTTGTCAGACATGGATCGCTTGATAACCCTTTGACGTTTCATTACTCTACAGTAGATGGAGTTGCTAAGAAAAACCTACATTTTTACGCGAAATCAGAATCAGTAAGCAACGCTGAACACTAGTTTGGTCTTTTTCTAGTATAAAAATGTTTCTGACCCACTCTCGGTGTATTTTTGTAAAACATAAGAAAGCAGTTTTAGGCAAGATTTGCTTCCTTTGAAAACGAAAAAATCATCACTATCCAACTGGTCGAAGACTCCGAGTGGCGCCCAGGTAGTGTATTCTACGTTCAGCTGAAACTGGTAAACATTATTAGTTAACAGTTATTCGTTCCTTGGTTGTCCTGCTTGCTTCTCTACGTTCAAGTAGAAAGTAAATAACTTTCCAGGATCCTCATTCCGATGAAGAAGGAAAAGAAACAAAGCTTGGAAAAACGTATATTGCTCATGTTTGCCGTCTATCTAATTCTAGCAGTTTCACTGGGGAATCATTGGTTGAATTTACTGAATCAAATTATGTAAAGACTCATTTATATTATTGAGTTAATCTTGCAAAAGTGGCATTATTTGAAAATAAATTTGAATATTTCCAACATGAAGTTAGATTAATTATTACTTGAGGTGGTTCGTGAAAGTGAAGGGTATGTTCGTGTCTTCATAACTCGTCGCGGACGTTATGACAGGAGCCCATTTGTGGTCAATTATGAGACATTTGATGTTAGTGCTAGAAGTGGTGTTGATTATGCTTCTGTACACAATGGAGTTGTGAAGTTTATGGAAGATGAATTTGAAAAGTATATTGACATCCGAATCATTGATGACGAGGAAGAAGAAAAGGAAGAGACTTTTGAAATCAGTCTTACAGCGGTTCATGGTGGTAGCTAATTTTTATAATAATTGTTGTATATGCTATTTAAAAGTCTCTTGTCAGCAGGTAAATTAAATCAGCGAAATGAATGACACTTTAGATATCACAATTGGACCGAGAAAGCGAACGGTTGTTACCATATTGTGTGATGATAACTTTATTAGAAACATCTTTCAAATTCGAAAGCTAACATTTTACTATTTTAATCGGATGTCTTTTGGAGCCAAAACTTGGCTTGAACAGGTTTCTGTTAATTTTACAAACAGTTATAGTTGTGCTTTGAAGCATATTATCAAAACAACTTCTTATTAATGCTAATTGGCTTGATACATTTTACCTTCTTTGAGCTTATCTACTGGATCTTCTGAAACTTTCATTAGTTGTTGAGTGCGGTTAAAAATGCCCCTGATAGCATTTCAAGGGGAAGCTCTAGAGGCTTCTTCTGTCTTTTTGAAGAAAGTTCTCTTTAAAAAGAATATGGCAAGAAACTGTAAAGGGAAGGAAAAAAACCTAAGGTACAAAGCAGCATTGACAAAAGTATTTTACGCTTCACCTCATAAAAGTAGCAGAGTCGCTTTATGCTAGTGGTATCAAAAAAGTTATTTAAGATTGCATGTGCCGTTAGTGTTAATGAAGGCGATATCGCAAATGCAACTCTGATCGATTGCCTTCTTCATGCTCTATCGTTCCCCTGGAAAATCACCTTTGCTTTTATTCCTCCACCAATGCTTCTTGGCGGTTGGCCATGCTTCTTCGTTGGTTTAGTTTTAATCGGAGTCGTTACTGCAGTCATTGGTTTGTTTTGAAAAGTCAAGTTTTTTTTTTTTGGTTGAAGAGCAATTTCTGGTTTGAGTGTTTTTGTTTTGAGTTTTGAAGCGTTATTAATTTTTTGAATTATATATCAAATTTTTCCGAATTTTTTAAATGACGTAATTTTAGGTGATTTAGCCAGCATTTTTGGTTGTATGGTTGGCTTGAAAGATTCTATAACTGCAATAACGTTTGTTGCACTTGGAACTAGCTTGCCAGACACTTTTGCTTCAAAAATAGCTGCACAAAATGTACATTATCATTAAACATTCATTTTCTGCGGCGAAGAAGATAATCTGCTGGCGATTTATCCCAGGTGACGACTTCAATGTTGTAGGATGATACGGCAGACAACGCTATTGGCAATGTAACCGGTTCTAACTGCGTAAACGTATTTCTGGGTCTTGGACTACCGTGGTTGATTGCAGCTTTGTACTGGTATTCGAAAAAACAAAGCTTTGTAGTTAGTGCTGGGAACCTAGGTTTTAGGTATAATTCTTCTGCTTCCATTTTCCAGTTCACCTCAGTTCGTCTCTAAATTGCCACGTCAAAATGTAACTGACCATTTTGTTCAACTTTACTTACGCTGAATGAAGCCATCGTAACTCATTTTGCATATTTTCAACAACAAGCATTATTTTTAGCGTCGCAGTCTTCATGACCACTTCAATATTATGCCTTGGTCTTTTGATGATGAGGCGTTACCTAGCGGTTTTTGGAAAAGGAGAGCTTGGTGGCCCAATCTCTCCTAAAGTTCTTTCTGCGGTTTTCCTTTTTTTCTTATGGTTGTTTTATGTCGTTGTGTCTGCGCTGCAGGCTTACAAAGTAATTAATTTTTAGCCAAAGTGTTGGCAGGATTTGTCTGGAAAAAAGAGATGAAGCGAAATTTGGTATTTAAAAAAACAGGCCTTTTTTATAATGAACATTTTGAAAAGATTTATTATATCAAATGTAATGATACCTATCTCATCTAAAAGAGCACTGCCTCTGGATGCTTTTTTAGAACTTTTCTTCCGTTGTTTTCTGTGCTACAGCTGTGAAGGTTTTACAATGTTTAAAAGACAAAATACGTTATTTTTCAGTTTATTGGAGTTCTGTATGATATTTCTTAAGATTTTTTGTCCCTATTGTGCAGTTTTTTAAATCAGCAGGTTTTAAGTCGGCAGAGCGTTTGTATATCTGCTCCAGTATTCGCAGTAAGTCTCAGTTTTTCTTGTATTCTTTAATGCCATCTTGCTGGCTACTTCACTAGCAGTGGCTTATCTGGTTACTAAAAAAGAGTATACAATTATTGGTTAACTAAGCATATTCACTTAGGATCTTACTCTCTCACACGAACCGTTTGGGTGATTAAAGAGTATAGGAAATTAGTGGATTAACAGAACGGTCTTTGACAGAAGAGAGGTGGAAGAGCAGAAATAGTGGAACGCAAGAAGCTGAGGGAAGTTTATCTGCAAAAATTATTGTGAAGAATCGTTTTAGAACAGATGCGTATGACTGGTAATGGAATTAGTTTTCCATTACCTTTCATTTCTATCAGAAGAGTGACAGTAATTTGACCACTTACTTGTTTGCATTTCTTAGGTTTAATAATGCTTTTCTCATTTTATGAAATGCTGTTTACTTATAGTAATGCAGGACTTCATAGCTTTTCCAATAACTTCTGTTTGATAAATATGATAAAAATGACACTTTTTTGACGTCGACAATTCGTTCAATTACACGAGTTCTTTTTAGACTTTTATTATAATATGATTTGTAGAAAAGCTTTTATGAAAGCAACTTGAAAGTGAATTTTTTGATAACTCTAATTTGCATAGTACAGCTCTGTCAAATGAAGTGGTATTTTGCAGCGTAGCACAAGGGAATAAATCTAGAAAAGCGTGCGATTTGGTGCGGCGCAGTCAACATTTAAATAGAATGGTATAAAGGAAAGCATGAATTTGAATACCTGTTTCAAAAGGTGTCATTTCAAATATTTTAAATACCACAGTTGACGTAAAATTCTCTTTGCAACATTGCAAAATCTGGTAATGTACTTACAAATAAGTCGAGGTTGAGAGTCATGCGTTTGAAGACAGTGCGACACTGGTAATAATCTTTTTTTGTTGCAGTAATTCAAAACACGTTCCAGTAGCAAAATCTTCATCGGCAGCTGTTTATGCTTTTGAAAACCGAGAAGAATCGTCTTCAAAACCTATTGTTTTGATTGTTGCAAATTTATTTGAAGAAGTTTTTATTCTTAGCGGCGAGAGCCAATTTAAAAAACATTTAGAGATTATACCTTAGGAGCCAAAAACCACAATATGGCAGCAGACAATGATAAAAAGTAGCCAGTACAAGAGCAGCCAATCTTCAAAAAGTAGCAGTCATTGCCCACATTTTCAACAGAAATTTCCTTCCAATTTATCCAAAAACAAAAGTCTGATCAGGTATTTTTTAATGGATTAGTCGGACTGAATCATGTGACGTTTTAATTGTAATCAGAATATTAGTGCTTACAGAGGCGTCGAAATGCTGCGTCAACTGTAGGTTTTTTGCAGTTTACTAATAGTATCATTACTAGTAATATTTTCAAAATGCCAAGTCAAAATTTTAGAGTGTTATAAAAAGTAAACCCCTATAAATTATTTTTTCGATATATTTAAAGTCATTTTTCTGAAGCACAAAGCTTTAAATCTTTTTTCTTGCTTTGTCTGCATCAGAAGATTCAAGAGACAACAAAATCGGGTGTCTACTTCTTGAAATACATACGATTAATGTAATGTCTTAAAAATACAAAGCTGTTATTGATTGCAGCATTTCAACCAGTCAGCTTGGTAAACCCGGTAGATTTGAAAGAGCCTGACCTACTTACCGTATCAGTTCCACGGTGTCTTCAAGAGCTGTTAAACTACTGGCCCTAATGGCTTCCTAAAATAGTCCTTTCAAAATACAGTCGACATTGACTTGAAGAAAGTTAATGGTATTTTCTACAGCATAAACTTTTAAGAATAGGTACTAATAGCTGTTTGGTCGCTGGAGATGGTTCATTATAAAGGTTTGCCCATCTGGACCATCTATTTCATGAGTAGGCCTACTTATTTTAAATGGGTCTTTAAAAAATCTAGAGAAGGTTTTTATGACACTATGGGAGACGAGCCTTGACCGAACGGAAATTATAACTATAAAAGAACAGACACAAACTGTCTATACAAAAAGTTTTCTGTGTAGTAAAGTAGAATTCCGTATAAAATTTATAAATCTTTTAGCACTCAATTAATCATCGAACAACGACTCCACCTCAAGTCTCCTCCGTTGAAAAAAACTACAATCAACAAACAAGTTTTCACGTACTTTGATATGAATTTTGCACGTTATTACTTGGAGTTTTTTTTCAAAATAAATTTTCTTGGTTTTGCCTCAACCGTTCCACCCTTTGGGCCTATTTCTTCTGTCGTTTCTTCTGGCTGTCGTTCCTGCCTGCTCAGTGCTTTTGCCAGAGCGAAGAGTTGGCAGTTTTTGGAAAAACCTCGGTCTCAAAATTTTGTTCTGTACTCTCTTTCCCCCGCTAATTACAAAATAATAAAGGTGAAGATTACGGCAGTCATTAAGAAAAGATCGGCAAGCAACATGGAGAGAGAAATATTAAACCACGGTATGTTGTGGTTGGTCCACGAATGAGTTGATCGTTTTTTTCCGGAAACAGTCTAGTAATGTAAAGAGCACGAACTGAGGAGACATATCAAAACAGTTGTAGCTAGTGATACAAACCACGCTGTACAGATATACATAGACTGGTAAAAACGCTGCAATATAAACCTAGACCAACATTTGTCCAAATAGCCAGCCAGGCATGTTACTACAATTCCGGTCTTGACGAGACAAATATTTCCACACCAGCTTGCAAGCCAACCGCCCTATATATATATGAGCAATCCCGTGCCAAATCGCACACTTTTGACAATTGATCCTTCAGATTTTTTTCATTTTTTGCTGAGTAGTAGAGTCGCGCCAGCATAAAGAAAGCCGCAAAGAAAACCTGGAAAAGTGAATCACCCGCCATGTTACACACCCTAAAAGTTGCAAAATTTGCCAGGTTGCCACATGACATGCCTATCATTGGGGACTTGTAGTTTAGCCTGTTCTTAACGGAATTTAACGGTTTTTGATCCTCATGTCCTGAACTTTTAAATGGATGATGAATAATTTAATTCCGGCAAAAATAAAAAAGGCACAATAAAAATAATATTTCAAACAAACATCGTAAAAAAAGCATGTCTTCAAATTTTTTAAAAAAGATATATTTTGTGCAGAATTTTTTGCTCTGCAACTCGTCAAAATTTGGAGGTGGCGATTTTTTAATATCGGGAGTTACGAGCTGGGAAGGAATGTGAAACTGAAAAAAACTTATCATTTCTACAGTAATCCCATGAATTTTACAATGGCGAAATCATCCGGAACCGCTTCTGAAGGCCGCAGTTGTCAGCTACAAATATCCCATATGCTTCAAAAGTTGAAAATTAACCATCAAAGTTGCACTTTACTTCAACAGTATTAACAAATTATTATTCTGCAGAGTTATAAAAGGTAATCTTTACTTCAGCCCTTTCCGGTTCTTGTATGTCGTGGTTCCTGAGCTCTTAGAATTGCCTCTAAATTGTACTCGTTAAAATTTTCGTTAAAGTCGACTTATTCTTTCAAATTATGTGCTGCACTCTTCTAGTAATATAGATGGTTTTAATAAAAACCTTGATTCAACAGATGACTAGGTAAAACAGTGAGTTCTTAAACTTTTTTACAACGTCAAAATGTGTACTAGCTACGTAGTTTTGACTGAATAAAACACGAGAAGTAGAAAACGCTGGAGTGAGGGCTACCTCTTGTAACTCTGCCGAATAGTAATTTGTTAATATTACTAAAGTAAAGTACAACTTTGGCAGCAAATTTTCAACCTTTAAAGCACACCGGATATTTTCAGCTGCCAGTTGCAGCCTTCGGATGCGGCTCCCGATGATTTCGCCACTGTAAAATACATGGGATTGATGTAAAAATAGTGGGTTTTTTTCAGTTTTACATCCTATTCCGGCTCGTAGCTCCCGACATCAAAATGTCCCCACCTCCAAATTTTGACGAGTTGGAAAACAAAAAATTCTGCACAAGATACATGTTTTTTAAAAAATTGAAATCTTTGTTTTTTTTTTCTGTGTTTGTTTAAAATTTTGTTTTTATTTTATCTTTGTGTATTCTTATCGAAATTGAATTATTCAACATACATTCAAAAGCGCAGGAAATGATAAATACGTCGGATTAAAAATCGTCAAATTCCAAAGAAATAGGCATGTCAAGCGGCAAACTGACAAATTTTTCAACTTTGAGGTGGTGTAACTTGGCGGAAAATTCACTTTTCCAGGTTTTCTTTGCGGCATTTTTTATGCTAGCCTAAACTCTACTAATCAGCAAAAAATGAAAAAAAATCTGAGTGGGTGATGTTTAGAGGTGTGCGATTTGGCTCGGACTTGCTCATGTACATATAGGCTTTGTCAAACCCAGTTTGGTATGAAAATATTTGTTGCAACGGGAACACGGCCAGTTGGCTACTTGGGCAAGTGTTGGTCTAAGTTCATAGTAGAGCATTTTTAACAGTTTTGCTGTGGGAAATTTCTGGTGATTTTGGTATCCTTGTGTTCCTCAAGCTTCTGGCAGCAGGTCGCGTTTTAAATATAGTTGAAATTTGGTTTTATTACTGAGTTATTAGCCGAAATGTGTCATTAGGTTCAGTTTTTTGGTTTACTGGTTTTGCTACTTTCCGAAAAAAAATAAATCCTTTTGTCCACTTACCTACACCTTTTCTTTCATTT